TGACCAGGGATGATGATATACTAACTGCAGATTCTTTCGTCGAATTTTCGGTTTCAATTAGTTTGATCTCAATCGATGTATTACGGTCATAAACGTATTGTAAAAACTCTCTTACAAAACAATTAAATAAACCCAGACTGTTAAGGGAAGGCTAACAGGAACTTACAGGTCGATTTGTGATAATGTTCAGCGGAGCTAGTTCTTGTAACGTTTGAGGTGTGAATGAAATGAATGGTAACCTGCCGGGCTCTAGTCTGCTGAAAGTGTGGACCCACACAAGCACCCCGGGAAGAAAGTGAGACGCCGGGTCCGCGTCCTCGACCCACCCATGCGCTAACCTACCCCCACCCACCTCGGCGGCCCCGCCCCGGCCCGCCCCCGGGTCCCGCGATTCCTCCCGGCTGCAGCCGAAGGGCGCGCTTCGCGGGGCGGAACCTCCTCTCCACCGCCTCCCAGCCCGCCCCTCCCGCCTCCGTTCACCTGCTCCTCCCTCGGCCTCCGCCAGGGGGCGCGCCTCCGAGGGCCGGTCCTCCGCCGTCGCCGTGGCCCTCAGCACCTCCAGCACAGTCTCCGGAGGCACGTCGACCAGTTGCGCCCACACGGACTCCGTGTAGAAGTCCACGGTGTGTGCGTTGGCAATGGACAGGGCTTGCCTCAGGAACCGCAGCAGCCCCTGCAACTTGGCACGCAACGTGGGCAAGTCCTGGGCCGCCGGGAGCGGGCTGGAAGCCGCCATGGCGCTCCCCCGCCCGGGCTGTAGGTGGCGCCAACCGCGTCGCGAGGCGGGGGCTCCGCGGAAAGCCGCCCAGGCCGGATCAGTAGAGCTCCGATCGACACTGCAGGTGGGCGATGGATTGCTTCCGCCTGGTGACGTGCTTTGACTGCGTCCGTTGTGAGTTTCCCGGCGACGCGCTGGGTATGCCATGGCGCCCTCGAGGCCGGCACCCGGGCGGCGGACGGGGGGTTTTGGGGCGCCCGGCGAAGGGTTTTCTCCGGCCGGATTCAAAAATAAGAATGTGAAACAGAGGACGTGGCGACCTAACCACCTGCAGGCCTTCGCGGGGAGCGTTCGCGAGGGTAAGAAGGCAGTCTTCCTGGTCCCCGGGCCTTTGAACTCCTCGAGTGCGCGACCCGCCGATGCGGGGAAGCAGGGTTTAGGGCGCTGGGTCGGGCCCTCCCGGGGCGGAGGGAGTCATTCCTGAGCCGGCCGAGGCCGTGGGCGTCTCAGCTTCGGGTGGGAAGACGGGGCGGTGTTGGTGACCGTCCGTAATCATCTTCCCCCACTTGTCTCCATTCTTGTTCCGAACTCTCCCTCTGTATTTACCCACGAAGGCGTAAGCAGAGAGCATCCACGGTTCCACTTGTGGATGAGGGACTGCAGCATGGAAGGGTTACAGAATGTTACAGAATGACAGAAGGATAGGGCCAGAAATCTGCCCCACGCCCTTGCTGATTGCAAGTACCCCAGAGCAAGAATTGTGTTGCCAGGATATGAGGATTGTGTATGTGCTGGGAGGAGGGACTGACGTATGGAGGGGGGGTTGCAGGGTTAGGAACCAGGGGAAGAAAAATTGCTAGATTGTCTTAGACCAGTCAGGTGTGACTCTGTTTACCCCCCCCTTTGTGCTTATGAACTTTCTGTGAATTTCTAAGGTAACACTGTTTTGCTATAAAAATCATAATGCACACTTGCTCTTTGCCACATGCCGCGAGTTTCCCAGAGGGGAAGGTACGGGCTGTGGTCAGCTGGCCAGCTTAATAAAAAAGGCTTTCAAATTTAAATTCGGAGTCGGTGGTCTATCTCGTTGAGCCAACCCATAACAGGTTCCACTTGTGGATGTATCATGTGTACACCTTGGTGCGTGTATTACGGGGAAGGACAGACAGAAGGATAAGGCCAGAAATCTGCCCCACGGCCTTACTGATTGCAAGTAACCCAGAGCCCTCCAGTCTTCTTTTACCGATCTTCCTTTCCTTTTGCTTGGCTTTGGTTTGTGTTTGTCATTGTGTCTTGTTGTCTGTAAGTTCCCGCAGATCTCGTTTGGAATGCATACATCTTAAGTTCGGGTAGCCGTTCAGAAAGTCATGCACCATCTTCTCTCTCTTGTGTTGAGTTACTTTTAAAAGTAAGTCGTACAGCCCTAACCGGTTTGGCTCAGTGGATAGAGCGTCGGCCTGCGGACTGAGGGGTCCCAGGTTCGATTCCGGTCAAGGGCATGTACCTTGGTTGCGGGCACATCCCCAGTGGGGAGTGTGCAGGAGGCAGCTGATCTGTGTTTCTCTCTCATCGATGTTTCTAACTCTCTATCCCTCTCCCTTCCCCTCTGTAAAAAAAATCAATAAAATATATATTTTTTAAAAATAAGTCCTACAGTAGTTTCTCTACGGCAAAATAATAGCTATGAGCTGTATGTTTTAAGTATTAAAGACCTAGATGAAGTCTTTTAGATGGATTAAGGAATTTGTTTTGATTTGTGAGCACAATAAACTGGAGTCCTGCAACGCTCTAGCCATTTTACCATATTTGAGAGTCTTACTTGAAGTGTCTGCATGACTAAGTTTGCCTGGTCTTTGGCAAAGAATCAACATGCTGTTCACGCCATTGGTTTAAAACTCGTTTTCTTGAAATGACCTTTCAAAGCAAAACAAAGTAATTCTAGCATCTGAATGTCACAGCTACATTTTTTCATGCCACTTATTTTCTGAGAAAGTAATTAACGATTTATGTTCTTCAATGTAGGACAAGGCTTTGCATTTCGAAGAAAATTGAAGATTCAGCAAAATTACAAGAAATTGCTGTGGCGGAAAAACAAGGCTCAAACCTCACAGGAATCCCAGTTCAGAGATCGATATCCCGATCATCTGAAACATCTTTACTTAGCTGAAGAGGAAAGACTCAGGAAGCAGACTAGAAAAGTTCAGAAGAACAAGTCAGAAGAACAAGTTAATGAGGCTTTGCCAACAGAACAATGTAACACTGACCAGGCTTTGTCTGAAGAACATTGTAGCATTGACCAGCCTCAGCCAGAAGAGCCATGTAAAGAAGAAAGGGTAAAGTATGTATTTTCTTATTTTGAAATCCTTTGTTTTAAGTTTAAGTAGTGTTTTATGAAATTAGACAATTTATATAGAAATTGGAATTGTTATTTGAGGCATTTTAGAAGTCACAGTGTAATTAGGCAATAATTTTTCATGGAGGCTTTTTTTTTTTTAATCTTAAATGACTGAATTAGGTTAGGTTAGCTTAATTGGAGAAGTAATGGAATGGGTATTAAAATATCTGGGTTTTCGATTTCAGCCTTTCAAGTACATTTAACTTACTTGGACTGTGGTTAATGCCTGTTATTAATATACTAGAGGCCCGGTGTACAAAAATTTGTGCACTGGGCGGGGGGTCCCTCAGCCTGGCCTGTGCCCTCTCGAAGTCTGGGACCCCTCGGGGGATGACCACGTGCTGGCTTAGGCCTGCTCCCCGGGGGGATTGAGCCTAAGTTGGCAATCAGACATCCCTCTGGCAGCCTGGCAGCCCTCGGAGGATGTCCACTTGCCAACGTGGAGCAGACCTAAGCTGCAGTCAGACATCCTTAGTGCTGCTGAGGAGGCAGTAGAGGCTGCCATCAGCCTGGCTTGTGGCTGAGCAGAGCTCCCCCATGTGGGAGCGCACTGACCACCAGAGGGCAGCTCCTGCATTGAGCGTCTGCCCCCTGGTGGTCAGTGTGTGTCATAGTTACCAGTCATTCCCAGTCTTGCTGCTGTTAGGGTCAGTTTGCATATTACCCTTTTACTATATAGGATAGAGGCCTGGTGCACGGGTAGGGGCCGGCTGGTTTGCCCTGAAGGGTGTCCCGGATCAGGGTGGGGGTCCCGCTGGGGTGCCTGGCCAGCCTGGGTGAGGGGCTGATGGCTGTTTGCAGCTGGTCACACCCCCTTCAGGGTGGGGGTCCCCACTGGGGTGGCCTGGCCAGCCTGGATGAGGGGCTGATGGCTGTTTTCAGACTGGTCACACCCCCTTCAGGGTGGGGGTCCCCACTGGGGTGCCTGGCCAGCCTGGGTGGGTAGGGGCCGGCTGGTTTGCCCTGAAGGGTGTCCCGGATCAGGGTGGGGGTCCCGCTGGGGTGCCTGGCCAGCCTGGGTGAGGGGCTGATGGCTGTTTTCAGACTGGTCACACCCCCTTCAGGGTGGGGGTCCCCACTGGGGTGCCTGGCCAGCCTGGGTGAGGGACTGAGGGCCGTTTTCAGGCTGGCTGGCGACTGAAGCTCCCAGCCTCTTCTTTTTTTCTTTATTTTTTTTATTCTGGGATTTATTTACCTTCTATAATTGAAACTTTGTTGCTGTCACTGGAGCTGAGAGCTGGCTCCAGCTCCGTGGCCACCACCGGCTGAAAGCAGGTATCTGGGGTTTGTTTAGCTTCTATAATTGAAACTTTGTTGCTTTTGGAGCTCAGAGCCACCTCGGCAGGCGGGGAACCTTGGCTTCCTCCATCACTGGAGCAAGCAAGCCTCCTGCTCGCTTCAGCTTCCTGGCTGCCAGTCGCCATCTTGGTTGGGTTAATTTGCATATCTTGCTGATTAGCCAATGGGAGGTGTAGCGAAGGTATGGTCAATTACCATGTTTGTCTATTATTAGATAGGATGTGTGTTGTTTTTTTTTTTAAACTAATTTTTTGAGAGGTATAGCTTGGTGGTTAACAGCATGAATGGACTTGAGCTGGACTTTTCTAAAATGGAAATTATGATAATAAGTATTTAATTCAGAGTTGCCATGTTGTACCTCTCCAGAATGAATTATTCTCAGACTCTGTGGTCTCCTGACCTATCGTGACATTATAAATACTAAATGAGTTCATTTGTTATAAAGTACTTTAAAAAGTGTACGGTACGTGAGAAGTACCACCTAAGAGTGTTAGCTACTACTGCTGCTACTACTATTATTAATCTAGATTCTTCTCCCCAGAGGATGTGGATTTAGAATCAATTAAAAAAGAAACAGAGAACAAGAATAGATCCAGAGACAAGTGAGGGGTTAGAGAGCAACCAAAGGACTTCTATGCATGCATATTAGCATAACCAATGGACACAGACACTGGGGAGGTGGGGGCTTGCCTGGGGTGGGAATGGCTGCGGGGGGGGCGGGGGGTCAGTTGGGGAAAAAGGAGACATGTAAAACTTCAGACAATAAAAAAAATAAAGTAGAATAAAAAAGAAAAGAAACAGCATAGCACCATACACTTTGGTCTTATAAATGCTAACTTATAAAGCTTTCTCTGCACATATCTCAAGTTAAAAAAACATGCCAAAATCTAAACTTGCAGTGAAGCTAGGTGTTACTTGGTACCATAACCTTTAACTTCACTAAAATTCTGTCCTTTAAAATTGGAGCTATTTGTGCTAAACATAATAGGAACTTGGACCCCAGGAAAGAGTGTAGTTGGGGATGAAGACAGAGACACTAAAAATTCAGATTTTTAGTAGGTTTGTTCATCTATGGGTGTAGAGCTTGGCAAAAAATAGCTCTAGAAATGGAGGAATGAATCATTTCCAGTGATAATTGAAGTGAGGAGGGTTTAATCATGACACAAAATTCCTTGGTTAAAATAATATTTTTAGAGGTTTCTTATTTTGAAGTGGAAACAGGGAAAAGTTGTCACTGAAGAAGTTCAATAGAACTGCCTTAATTGGAGAAAGGGGGAATACAGTGACAGCTATGTCAATATAGGAAACTTGTGCAGAGTAGGGATTGATCAACTCAAATACTGTAACATCCAAGAAAACAAGACTGAGAGCAGGTCTTTTGAGTTTGTGCTCTAGGCAATTATTAGTGACCTTGTAAAGAAGATTTTCAATAGATAACCCTGGTGAA